CGTTCAGCTATGGAGTTACCCTTTGGATAGTACTCCGAACTTCTCATCAATGTCACTCCAAAATCTTGTAAGGTCTTCCTGACCTCTGGGCCACTGAGATTCCTCGCATTATCGGCTATAATTGTCCCAGGAGGTCCCAATTTAATAAAGCACCGCATCAACATCGAAGCCACCCAGTACGACGTCATAGAGGGAAGATTTTTCCCATACCAAAAACTTACTGAAGGCATCGATGATTGTCAAAAAATGTATCGGGCCATAGGAGACGATATCAATATGCAGTACTTGCCATGGAGCTGTAGCTCGACTCACTTGCTGCATGGGTAGGACTGGATCAGGAACTTGATTACGGACGCACCCTGGGCACTTAGCAACCACCTCGTAAGTACGTCTCCACATCCATAGAAGATAACATATTTTGCGGAGTGTTTCTACCGTAGCCTGAGTATTAGTATGCCCAATAGCATGAGCTTTATTGATAAGCTCTTCCAAACAAGCCGTAGGGATAACCAGTAGTAGTTTACGTGGGTTTCCAGCCCAGTAAACATGATTGTTGACTAGTCTCAGCTCATGACTAATCTTTGCATACTCTGCTAGGGATGGAGAGGTCGGTCTGATGAAAAGACCCCGCCTAAGGGCATCCTTCACAATGCACAGCTCTTCATCTTGCTCCTAAAGACAATTCTCTCGCTTACTAACCGCCGCAACCCGCTTCGTACAGAGAATCGTCTTCACAACTTTATTGTCGGTATTGACAATAATTTTCCGGAACTTGCATGAAGACAACTGCTCAAGTTCATGTACTGCAGCTAGACCAGCATAAACCGCCGACATCTCCTTAACCACTATGGCGACATTCAACTTGCCCTCCGGAAAGGCCACGCTAGATTCTTCAAAGACCTGTAGCTGACCATCAACTTCCTGGGATAATTCATAGGCAGAGACCCATTTACTGGCGTCGGCCGACAGAATCAGGTCTTCACCAAAATCATAGAGTCTCGGAAGTATCAATGTCCCTGTGGTAAGAACATACGCATGTCATTGCCGGAATAAGCTAAACATTCCGTCAGAGACCATTGAGCGCCACGAAACTTGACGTTGATAGCGTTCTCTAGATACTAGTCCTTGTAGAGTATGTTTTAACAATAAATTCCAAGCACCAGCAGTGACAACGTCAGGCAACTTTCCTAGCACAGCCAGCACACCACTATAGGAGAGTGTTAGTTGGTCAGAAGTGAAGGAATCTCTCAACTTTATCCACTGTTTAGGTGGAAATTTGAGTGTTTTCCCATGATCACTATACGCAACTCCCAGAGCTTCAACATCATCAATGGCAGTGTTCACACATTGTCGTTTGATGTTATTCAAGGCCCGCTCCACCGCATCGTATTAGTCATTTGGGAGTGTTGGGTGAGACTGAGTGTTAGCCAACTAGGCAGCAGAGGGCGGTGATAATACCGAACCTCAC